TTTTTTGTGGAGATAGAGTCTTGTTCTTGTCGCCACCCAGGCTGGAGTGCAATGGAGTGATCTCAGCTCACTGCAACCTCCACCTCCCGGGATCAAGCGATTCTCCTGCCTCAGCCTCTCAAGTAGCTGGGATTACAGGCACTGGCCACCACTCCTAGCTAATTTTTTGTATTTTTAGTAGAGATGGGGTTTCACCATGTTGGCCAGGCTGGCCTCGAACTCCTGACTTCAGGTGATCCACCTGCCTCGGCCTCCCAAAGTGCTGGGATTATAGGCATGAGCCACTGCGCACAGCCACTTCAGTGCTTTTATAGAAATATAAAATGTCAAATGCTTAAAATTTCTTTTTCTCATTCTTTCAGTGGCTCTGCTTGGCTGGTGTCCCAGGCATATGCTCATTCTGCTTACTGAGACTTTTAATTCTGCCTTGCAACCCTACAGGGTCCCAGAGGCGAGTTAGGAAGAAAGGCCCAGGACTTCCCCTCTGAGCGACCCCTGAAAAAGGCCCTCACTCCCAACCCCCATCCTGCCCTCCACCCCACCTTGCCTGCCAGAGTACTAGGCACAGCAGCCCAGCCAGGAAACAGGAGACGCCGCCAGTTAATTTCCCCTCCCTCCCACTCTGGCCAAGGCTTCAGAGTTCCAGAACCAGAGCCAACTCCCTGATAAGGGCTGGGTGTGTTTGTGGAGAGAGGCAAAAGGGAGTGCCAGCCATGCCGACCTGTGACCTGGTCTCTCCCAAGTCACTCACCTAGCACAACTGCCTCTAAGGAGACATTAATTCCCTGGCTACCTTTAGAAAGTCCTCTGTCCATCCTCCCGAGGGAAAGAGAGGAGACAAGGAAGAGAACCAGGCATCCAGATGAGGTCAGGCAAGTCCGAGATAGAAGCACCTGAATTGAGAACAGAGGTGTAACTGCCATGTTCAAAGCAGTTCCCTTTTTACAGATGGATTGCATTCCAAAAGTCTGTAGTTAATGTTCCCTCTAAGGTAAATCAACCAGATCAATTGTTTATTGAGCATTTACTATGTACCAGGCACTATGCTAAATGTGCATTCTTTTATTTAGTCCTTCTGAGAACCCTGAATAAGATCAAGAATAAATTGAACTTATTTTCACTTTGTGGATAAAGAAAGAGGAGTGCAAAGAGATTAAATAATTTGTCCCCATCTGGCCAGACAAGGTGGCTCATGCCTGTAATCCCAGCACTTTGGGAGGCCGAGGCAGGCGGATTGCGAGGTGAGGAGATCCAGACCATCCTGGCTAACACGGTGAAACCCCGTCTCGACTAAAAATACAAAAAATTAGCCGGGCGTGGTGGCGGGTGCCTGTAGTTCCAGCTACTCGGGAGGCTGAGGCAGGAGAATGGCGTGAACCCGGGAGGCGGAGCTTGCAGTGAGACGAGATCACGCCACTGCACTGCAGCCTGGGCAACAGAGCAAGACTCCGTCTCAAAAACTAAAAATAAATAAAAATAATAATAATTTGTCCCCAGTTATCTGGCAGAGTCAGGGTTGGGAACAGATTTTCATTCCCAAACCTGGCGGCTATACCGTGATGCCACACGATTTTGAGCAGGAAATAACTTCCCAAATTAAGCCACTAGAACACTTTTTATCCATTATGCATCCAAAAATAGTGTACATTTGCAAAGGGAAAAAAGGAAACAATAGTTCTGAAATACTAATGAATTAATGCAGAAAAACAATGAAATGGACTGGGAAAGTTATCTAGAAAGAGGAGTCTATGAAAAGTTACTTTATTGAAAAGAGGATGTGGAGGTTGCTGAAAATGAATGTGAGTTAAATCCACAAGGGGAGGTTGGATACTTGCAAAGATTTAAGGGTTTGCTGGTCTTAGTATCTAGCTTCATTGCCAACTTGTGCATTTTCCTTAAGACAGCAGCTATGACTAGAATTATTTTAAATTAAGAAACACAGCATAGTGGCCGGACGTGGTGGCTCACGCCTGTAATCCCAGCACTTTGGGAGGATGAGGCGGGCGGATTGCGAGGTCAGGAGATCAAGACCATCCTGGCTAACACGGTGAAACCCTGTCTCTACTAAAAATACAAAAACAAAATTAGCCGGGCGTGGTGGTGGGTGCCTGTAATCCCAGCTACTCGGGAGGCTGAGGCGGGAAAACGGCGTGAACCCAGGAGGCGGAGCTTGCAGTGAGCCGAGATCGCAGCCACTGTACTCCAGCCTGGGTGACACAGTGAGACTCCGTCTCAAAAAAAAAGAAAAAAAAAAAAAAGAGAGAGAAAGACGGCATGGTAGGCATGGTGGCATGCAGCACCTGTAGTCCCAGCTATTCAAGAGGCTATAGGAGGATCACTTGAGTCCAGGACTTTGAGGCTGTGGTGTGCGATGATCATGCCGGGGAACAGCCACTGCACTCCAGCCAGGGTGATGTAGTGAGACCCCCATCTCTAAAACACAAAACATAAAAAAGAAAAGAAAAAAGAAATACAGCAAAGAAAAGTGGGGGTAAGAGAAGAAGACAGAAAATTGTTTCTGTATAGGTAGCACAACAAGGAGGGGTAAAAATTGAGACTATGTAGGTACAAGAATTCTCCGTGTGGAATTATGCAGCTGAGGTAACATTCTTTTTTCATCTAAGGTGACATTTATGTAACTTTATCAGTGAGAAGGGCAAGCGGAGAGCCAAGTGCATTGTCTGCCCAAAGGGTAGAACTGGTGACAGGTGAGAATAATAGTCACACTTTTCTCTCCACTGGCTTCAAATCACTTGATTACTGAGACAACAGCTTCCAGGTATGTTAGGGCAGGCAGAGTCAAAGGCACCTAGACGCTGAGATGTTCTCAATTATACCAATTTCCCCAGAGGAGCTCGTCCTGGTCCATGGCTTTATGTCACCCACATGCTGAAATATTCAGGCTGCTGCTTTGAGCTCTAGGATCACACAGCCAGTGCCACTTTGAAATCTCCAGGGTAATCTTATCCCCAGGCACCCCGATCTGTACCTCCTGCAGACTTCCTCATACATTAAATGGCATCACCTTCCAAGCCAAAACACTTAGGAGCATCCTGGATTTCTCTCTTTCATTCCCCACCAATTAATCCATCAGCAGGACTAAAACAAACCTACACTTCTTGTCCTGGCTGACAGCCCTGCCTCTCTCTCTGACTTCATCTCACACTCTGTTTCTTCACACTTACTGTGCTCCAGCCTTCCTTCTGTTCCTTAAACATGACACCGTCATTCTTAGCCTAGGGCTTTTGAATTTGCCTTTTCCTCTGTCTGGAACACCCTTTCCCACCTCATTGCATGGCAAGCTTCTCATTCTTTAGGACTCAGATTATGTATCAGCTCCTTAGAGACTCGACCCCTTCCTGACCTTCTGATGTGAAGTTTCTCTAAATTATTCTCAGTCACATCACTTGGTTTCTTTTCTTCATAGTACCAATTTATGTCCTTTATTTATTTCCTTTTTTTTTTTTTTTTTTTAGACAGAGTCTCGCTCTGTTGCCCAGGCTGGAGTGCAGTGGTGTGATCTTGATTCACCACAACCTCTGCCTCCCAGGTTCAAGTGATTCTCATGCCTCAGCATCCAGAGTAGCTGGGACAACAGGTGCCCGCCACCATGCCCAGCTAATTTTTGTATTTTTAGTAGAGATAGGGTTTCGCCATGTTGGCCAGACTGGTCTTGAACTCCTGACTTCAGGTGATGTGCCCACCTCGGCCTCCCAAAGTGCTGGGATTACAGGCGTGAGCCACTGTGCCTGGCTTAGGGATGTCTTATTTTTTATTGTACCTAGCAGGGTACCTAGTACACTGCATTAATTAACAAATGAATGACTAAAAGAAGCTTTCTAATTCAAAAAATACATCTTTTAGAGAGTCAAGTTTTTATATCAATTATAAGGTTAGTGGTAAGTGCATTTCTTGTTCTAGGACCTTTAATAGAGCTACATTTGGGCCAGGTGCGGTGGCGCATGCCTGGAATCTCAGCACTTTGGGAGGCTGAGGTGGGTGGACCATCTGAGGTCAGGAGTTCAAGACCAGCCTGGCCAACATGGTGAAACCCCATCTCTACCAAATACAAAAAATTAGCCAAGCGTGGTGGCGCATGCCTGTAATCCCAGCTAATTGGGAGGCTGAGGCAGAAGAATCGCTTAAACCCAGGAGGTGGAGGTTGCAGTGAGCCGAGATGGCACCACTGCACTCCATCCTGGGCAACAAGAGCAAAACTCCATCTCAGACAAAACAAAAACAAAATAAATATATCTACATTGGTGGGGAAGATAACTGTTTTTTTTTTAAAGCCAGAATTAGACAATTCACAACCCAGCCATGGCAGAGCTAGCACCTGATTAGCTCCTAATCAATACCAGAAGATATTCTAGAGAATGTAGTTGTTTCAGGATGCATATGAATAGTGTATATGCACATAACACATATTATGATAGCTACTCTGTATGGAGTCCCTTCTATGTGACAGGCACTGTGCTAAGTGCTTTATAAGCACTCTTGTGATTAGTCCTCACACACAAAAAACCCCTGTAAGGTAAGTACTAGTATTGCGCCCACTTTACAGTTGAGAAACCTGTGGTTTAGAGAAGTATCTTACTAGTTGGAATTCAAACCTAGGTGGGCCTGATTCCAGAGCCTGTTACTCTACTGTCTAGCATGTCCTGCTAGATTCCTACCGATGCCATAAGATATGGGTAGGTACCACTGGCCCAGTAGGTACTGCAGGGCAGGTACTAGTGGCCCAGTTTTAGGCATAAGGAAGCAAAGGTTCAGAAATATTGAGTGACTTGCCTGAGATCATCAGCTAGTTAGTGGTGGCCTGGAATTGAGTCCAAGTCCTCTTGACTTTAATCCCAGGACTGATTCTGCTATAGCTTATAGACCCTCTTGGGCAAAAGACAAGAGGTGAGACTGGGCAGGATGTATATGCCATGGGCCCTTGGGGACCAAGGAAAGGAAAAGTATGCTATGGAAACAGCAGATATTCCTCTCTCCTGCAGGCATTCCTAGAGAAGTATGGATACCTCAATGAACAGGTCCCCAAAGCTCCCACCTCCACTCGATTCAGCGATGCCATCAGGTAGGGTGGAGGGATGTGGAGGACTTGGGGTAGGGGTGCTAGGATGCCAAGCTCTGGCCATTTCCTCCCTCCTTCTGGAAGCCTGGCTGGCCACACCCCAGGGAGGCAGACCTCCCTGCCCTCACCCTTACCACTCACCCTCCCCTTGTGGTCCTTTCCTCCTGACAGAGCGTTTCAGTGGGTGTCCCAGCTACCTGTCAGCGGTGTGCTGGACCGCGCCACCCTGCGCCAGATGACTCGTCCCCGCTGCGGGGTTGCAGATACCAACAGTTATGCGGTCTGGGCTGAGAGGATCAGTGACCTGTTTGCTAGACACCGGACCAAAATGAGGCGTAAGAAACGCTTTGCAAAGCAAGGTGAGCACTGTTAAAATCTGGCTAGGCTAAGATTTCCCAAAGTCTTGAAGCCAATGGCTAGGAAAACAGCTGAGCCTGGGACTGGACTTTATCGGTAACCTCTCTTCCCTAGGGCACGGGAGGAGTGGGTGAATAGGACCTCTTGGCTTGAGGACCATGATTGTGAATACAGACATTTAAGTCGGAATGACACCTACATTGATGAATTTTCATTGTACAAGTATTTTTCCAGATCAAGCCCCACAAAACCCACGTAATTCCTTGATCAATTTTCAATGCAGGGCAGTTAAATTGTTGCTAACATTTTTCATTTATATTTACTGAAGTTATTTTCATCAGAATTCATTCTTTTTCTTTTTCTTTTTTTTTTTTTTTTGAGACAGAGTCTCGCTCTGTTGCCCAGGCTGGAGTGCAGTGGCCAGATCTCAGCTCACTGCAAGCTCTGCCTCCTGGGATTATGCCATTCTCCTGCCTCAGCCTCCTGAGTAGCTGGGACCACAGGCGCCCGCCACCACGCCTGGCTAGTTTTTTGTATTTTTTAGTAGAGACAGGGTTTCACCGTGTTAGCCAGGATGGTCTCGATCTCCTGAACTCGTGATCCGCCCGTCTCGGCCTCCCACAGTGCTGGGATTAGAATTCATTCTTTTTCAAACAGTTACTAAACAAAGTTGTGATTCATAAGATTTACTTTGTCCATAGCATATTTTTAACCACTTTGTTGAGCTATAGTTCACATCCCATACAATTTACCCATTTGAAGTGTACAATTCAGTGGTTAGGATATTTGTGGAATTGTGCAACCATTACCACAATCTAATTCCAGAACATTTCATCACCCGGAAAAGAACCTCCATGCCCATTAGCAGTCATTCCCCCTTCTCCCCTTCCCCTAGCCTCTGGCAACCGTTAATCCACTTCTGTCTCAGTGGATTTGCCTCTTTTGAACATTTCATCATAGCACAGTTTGCACATTACAGTTTCTGCTGTCATGATTTTCCTTTTGTAGCTTTATTTTGTTTCTCCCTTTTCTCCTCCTCCTTCTTTTAGCCAAATTTAATATTCCAGGGGTTAAATGGTACAGATCTAAGATTTATGAAGATTTGATTCTTTTGTCAGTTTTTCACAAATAGCGAGTTTTACTATGCATAATTTTTTTTGAGACAGTCTTATTCTATCGCCCAGGCTGGAGTCAGTGGCGCAATCTCAGCTCACTGCAACCTCCGCCTCCTGGGTTCAAGCGATTCTCCTGCCTCAGCCTCACAAGTATCTGGGACTACAGGCGCATGCCACCATGCCTGGCTCATTTCTGGATTTTTAGTAGAGACAGGGTTTTGCCATGTTGGCCAGGCTGGTCTCAAACCCACTTCGGCCTCCCAAAAGGCTGGGATTACAGGCGTTAGCCACCGCGCCTGGCCTACCATGCATAATATTAACAACCTGATTGTTTTTACTAAGTCTAATTTTCTCTGCTCAATTTTTGCAGCTTTCAAGATTTCTAACAAGATGGGGGTTTTTAACCAGATTTTCATCTATCATCAATTTTACTGTGAACACTTTGGGCCATTGCCACTTTTAATGTGTCTAATTGACTACTTTTACTGATAGTATTCATTAGGAACAGGACAGAAGGCACATAGTTTGTTCTCATTTCTTAACTAACCTGTAAGGAAATTGTGGGCAGTTCCCCTTCACTGTTGGAGGGCAGCTGTTTCCAGGTGTTTGCCAACCCAGTTCTGCTTCACCTATATGCCCAGCCACTCTAGGTCCTCAGTACTGACTGCTTGCCTTCCTGGTAAAGCAAGGAGTCAGCAATGGGGTCCGGCTCCAGAGTCAAGATGCCCTTGGTGTCAACATGTTCTGTGTCCCACCATGTTTCTGGGCAACAGAGAGGAAGAGTGAAGTAGAAGAGCAGAGAGCTGTGAGTTCAAGAGGCACTGGTAGAACAGAGAGCAGCATCCCTGGAGCCAGAGGCCCTGGGTTCAAGTCTCAGCTGTGTGGCCTGGGCCAGGTCACTTTGCTCACTGAGGCTCCATTCCTTCATCCGAGACATAGGCCCTTCCAGGTTGCAAAGGAGAGATGGTCCCTGATTACCAGGTGGAAGGGGCTTGTTGTGAGAATGCAGTGGAAAGTGGGGCAGCCCCAGAAACAGTCCAACAGCTATACTTTGACCTGAGCTCTGGGGCTGCTTCCTTCTGGCTGTATCTCACCTTCTCATGCCCCAAAGGAAGGTATTAGATCTAATAGAGTTCGTCACTATACAATTTCGAGCATGTCTCTCTCTCTCTCTTTTTTTTTTTTTTGAGATGGAGCCTCGCTCTTTCGCCCAGGCTGAAGTGCAGTGGCGCAGTCTCGGGTGACTGCAACCTCCACCTACGGGGTTCAAGCAATTCTTCTGCCTCAGCCTCCTGAATAGCTAGGATTACAGGCACACGCCACCATGACAGACTAATTTTGTGTGTGTGTGTGTATTTTTAGTAAGGACGGGGTTTCACCATGCTGGCCAGGCTGGTCTCAAGCTCCTGACCTTAGGTGATTGCCCACCTCGGCCTCCCAAAGTGCTGGGATTACAGGCGCAAGCCACCGTGCCCAGTCAGAGCATCTCTTTTTCATAGAGGATAGTATTACTCAGTTGCCAAATAAAATATAAGATGCCCAGTTACATTTGAATTTCAGATGAACAACAAATAGTTTTTTAAAGTTAAAAAAGAAATTTATCTGGCAGCTGGACACAGTGGCGCACATCTTTGATCCCAGCGCTTTGGGAGGCCGAGGTGGGTGGATCACCTGAGGTCAGGAGTTTGAGACCAGCCTGGCCAACATGGTAAAACCCTGTCTCTACTAAAAATACAAAAAGTAATTAGCCTGGTGTGGTGGCACATACCTGTAATCCTAGATACTTGAGGCTGAGGCAGGATAATTCCTTGAATCTGAGAGGTAGATGTTGCAGTGAGCCAAAATTGTGCCACTGCACTCTAGCCTGGGTGACAGAGTGAGACTCTGTCTCAAAACAAAGAAAAAAGAAACTCATCTGACAACCTCATTGCAGGTACCTGCTCTTCCTACCTACCTGCAGGCCTTCTGTTCCTTCACTGAGCTGGCAGAGGCTGGGGGCACCAGGGTGTATCTGGGTAGAAAAGGAAAGAAGAGGGGAATGTATATTTATTGAGTATGCACTACATGCCCAGCAGTTCCACGTTGCTATATCGTTTAAGCCTCACATCTTACTATGGGGAAAGTCTTATCAACCCCATTTTGCACATAAGGAAACTGAGGCTTGGAGAGATTCCATAATTTGTTATGTAAGTTTGCAAGTAGAGATACTGGGATTCTAACCCATGTTCTTTCTACAGTGTCAATTCCCTGCTGGGAGTCAGAACTCCAGGGTTCTGTCCAGGGAAAGCTTTTAGCTCTCCTCCCCCTTCCCATACTGTTTCCTTCCCTCTTTCTTTTTGAACTGTGGAGCAAGGGTGTCAGGGGGTACAATGCCAGGTGCTACTAGGGCCTGGGGGTCACCACGAAAACCAGCCCTCCCTGGCCAGGAGTTTGGGACAGGGCCTGAAGCGGTTAGCTTTCTCCATGGGAGCAAATCTGGAGGGAGACAGGGGCAAGGGCTCAGGCTGCTGGCCCCCGGCCAGGTCCTTTCTTCCTGGCAGGCACACTAGTGACACCCCCTACCCTGCTCCTCTCTCAGGAAAACAGTCATTTTCTTTCAAGTTCCATTCCTATTCATCCTCTCTATCCTTCCCCCAAACACACACATGCACACACTCAGAGTTTCCTACAGGATTTTATTCTGAGACCTGTCACCTTCACTGGCGGCCTAGAATGAGAAAACTGCCCACCACCCCTTCTTCTGCCTGGGAAGTGAGGGGCCCCGCTAGCTGCAAAGAGGCGGAAGGAGCCATCTCACACTATGCTAGTGGATTAAAGGTTTGTGAGGGGAAAGAAAGAGCCTGGGAGTCTGTCCCCACAGCAGGGTGTGAAAGAGCCCAGCGCCAGACAGTCTGGTGCCCAGTGAAGACTCACAGTGTGCCCAGCAGAAGTGTGACTGGCACATCACAAACCCTCGGCTGCACCTCTGGACCCCAGGCCTTCCCTCTGCCTTCCTTGTCTCCCTCGCTTCCTTAGAGCCATTCCCTCTCCCCTCGTTAAGGGTTGGTCACTGGCTGGGAGGCAGAGGTTGGGTGGTTGCCAGGCCAAACAGGCCCAGGGAGGCGGCATTGCCTTGAATGGAGCTTGACTCAGGGGTGGGAGAAGGGATGTGCCCCTCCCCCACTTGCATTGGTGAGGAGAAGGGAATCCAGCTCCTCTGCTCTCCAAGACCCTCCCTTACATCTGGAGAATCTCAGCTCGTGCTTTGACCAGAAGGAATGATGTTTGGGCAGATTTATAAGCCTGGAGTCCTGGCAAATGTGCCTGCCTGTCTATGTGGGATAATGGAAGAGCCCTGGATTAGGTGTCAGGGCCTGCCTCAGCTACTCACTCATTCTGGGACCCTGGGCAGGCCCCTTGTCCTGGGGTCTCAGGTCTCAGTTATCACACCCTTGGCCCAAGAGTCCTGCCTCCAAGCCATGAGTCTTCCACTTGAGGTTACAATCCCAGCCCCTGGGATTTGCAGGGCTCAGAAATAGCCCACAAGAAACTGGCCCTTCCAGCCATGCTGCTGCCGGGTTCATGCTGAGCTGCAGATGGGCCCAGACTCAGTTGACGGGGGCTGGGGCAAGGGGCCAGAGTCTCAGCCCTCAGGGAGGAGTTGTAATTTGGAGCAAAGGGAGAAAAACCCTTAACTAAGCAGAGATGGAAAACTTTCTCTCAGTCAGTGACAAAACACACCCTTTGTTCTTATTTGTTTTCACCTCAGAGCTCTCCAGAGTCCCTGAGGAAGTGAAGAGGAGAGGGGCAGGAAAGAACCTCAAATGAATGAGTCTTGTGGTTGTTGGCTGGCCATAGACCCCAGGCCCTGGAAAGGGCAGAGTGAAGTATCTAGAGGTGGCAGGAGGGTGTGAGGCCTGAAGAGAGATGGTGGGGAGCTGGGGGAGTCACAGCTGTGGCCTCTGTGGCCCCACTCTCCTCTGCTCTGACACTGAAGGCGGGGGCTGGGATTTGCTGGTAGCAACAGACACAGAACTGTTTTCAGACTCAGTCCAGGCTGTGGGGAAGAACAAGATCCTAGACCAAGGGTTCAGACAGACTCCTTCAGACTGGGGGCTTCTCCTGGGCAAAGGCTGCATCCCCTCCAACACACTGGGACCTCCACAGTCCAAGCCACTGTATTGGGGACTGTCCAGGGTAAGGGGAGTCCTCTCAGTCTGAGGGCTGCCCTCGGCCAGGTAGTATTGCCCTAGTCAAAGCCTGAGCTGCCCAGGGCAAAAACTATGTCTTCCCCATCAGACCAGGGGCTGCTGGGAGAGGGCCTACACCTCGCCATCATACTGGGTCTGTGGGGACCAGACTCAGGCTCTGCAGCAGGTGTGACTGACGTGGGCTTTCTGGGTGGCAGGTAACAAATGGTACAAGCAGCACCTCTCCTACCGCCTGGTGAACTGGCCTGAGCGCCTGCCGGAGCCGGCAGTTCGGGGCGCCGTGCGTGCCGCCTTCCAGTTGTGGAGCAACGTCTCAGCGCTGGAGTTCTGGGAGGCCCCAGCCACAGGCCCCGCTGACATCCGGCTCACCTTCTTCCAAGGGGACCACAACGATGGGCTGGGGAACGCCTTTGATGGCCCAGGTGCTGACACAAAGCCTCCCTCCCACACAGCAGGAGGGGAACCCAACTTGGAGAGGCAGTTTGGGGGTGGCAATGAAGTATTCACCCTCCCTGTGGCCTTGGCAGAGCCACATCTCCCTGCAAAAAACCCTCAGTCTCCTCATCCTAGAATGGGAACAGTGGTCCCTGCTCTACTATGTGTCACATGTCTGAAAGGACAGTCAGATAAAGCTCTGCAAGAAAAATGCTTTGCAAATTCTAAAGAGTATTATGCATTCTGGGAGAATCTCCCAAGGTCCCATCATCCATCCTCTGCCTCTAGACAGTCCTGTGCTTCTCTTGTTCTCCAGAGTGGATGTTCACTCCAGAGCCCTAAAACACATCCACTGCCCACCACTGCTCCCCCACCCCCAACTACCACAGCTGCTGCCACAGGGCAAGAGGCACCCTACTCCTGACAACCCTGACAGGGAAGTGCTTTATATACCTACACCACAGATAGTTCTGTTTGTCCCCAACCTGAAGGTTCTGGCTGCAATTTAAACCACTCTCTTCCCCTTCTGCCCAACGCTGGCCTTCAGAACCTGAATATAGGCTATTTGCATATTTCCTCTCCTAATGAAGAAAGGAAACCTGATCAGACCCCTTTAGGCTGGGGACTTAAGCCCTTGTATGGCCTGGGAACTTGAGCCCCCATCTCCCTCGCACCCTCCTGCTTTCAGTCAAGCCCACCTACAGCAAAGCCCACATCCAGGCCCTGCTGCTGGGACCTGGATTAGGACCAAGAGAAATCTAGGCTTTGCAAGAATCCACATGTAGTACACACATGCACTTATTTGTAACTGACTTCATCCACGTGATCTACCTGAGATGGTTCTATCCATACCTAGTTAAGACAGCACTGCACTGGGAGTGAGGACTTTGGGATCCCCAAGCAACTCTCTGATTTGGAACAGATACTTTGTCTTTTTGAATAGTGGTCTTCTCCTCTCCCAAAGCTGCCCATCTGTCTCCCAGTGAGAGCTGAATAGAGTGAACAGTGCTTGAAACAGCTGGAGGCGTATTCAAAATAAGCATGTATTCCTCCTACACACGGCTGACCTTCCATGCCCCCAGCAGGCTCTCCTTTTAGTCCAGCCCCCCTATTTTTGTCAGTCCCAGTTGGCCTGGGGTCCAAGAAGGCAAAGCTGGAGGAACCCTCAACAAGCTTCTATGCAAACTATCCTAGCGCAGTTTTCTGACTCCTGTGTCAGGGTCATCTGCCCCTGTGGAAGGTGAATCGTTAGGGGCGGTACCCTGGCACCTGCACATGTAATAAGCTCCATCTGGGGCACACTAAAAGCTTGAAAATCACTGATCCGGCCCAACTCCCTCTGCTCATTCCTATTATAAGTAGAGAGAGGCCCCCCAGAGGTGCCCTGGCAGAGGAGGGCAAGAATATATATATATATATATAATTAATTATAATTATAAATATTATATTAATTATAATTATATATATAAATAATAAAAATATATACTTTTTATTAAAGAAAATATACATAATATAGAAGTGAATTATCTCAAGTTTAGCCTGATGAACTTTCATACACTGAACACTCGCAGCACCCAAATCAAGAAACAGAAGGTCCCATCACGCCTCCTTTTAGGGGTAACTATACTCTACCTACTTCTAGATATTTTTGAAAGTAATTCTTACGTAGCCCTTATTATGTGCTAGGCACTGTTCCAAGGATCACTTTTTTGTTGTTGTTGTTTCATGTTTTTTTGTTTTGTTTTTGTTTTTGTTTCGAGACAGGGTCTCACTCTGTCACCCAGGCTGGAGTGCAGTGGCACAATCACAGCTCACTGCAGCCTTGACCTCCTGGGACTCAAGAGAGCCTCCCCACCTCAGCCTCCCAAGGAGCTGGGGCTACAGGTGCACACCACCACGCCTAGCTAATGCTCTTGGTTTTTAGCAGAGAGGAGGTCTTGCTTTGTTCCCCAGGCTGGTCTCGAACTCCTGGACTCAAGTGTTACTCCCACATCAGCCTCCCAAAGTGCTGGGATTACAGGCGTGAGCTACCGCACCCTGCTGCATGATTTGTAATACACATGTACACACACACACGCACATACACACTTATTATTCAGAACAACTCTGTGAGGAAGAAGCTCACCATCATCATTCCCATTTGCAGATCAGGAAGTTAAGACAGAGAGAGGTTAAACTAAATGCTGAAGGTCACACAGCTAGTAGATTGTAAAAGTAGGTATGGCACCCAAATTGGTGGGCCCATGCCGTATCTGCACCACAGTGCCTCTTAGGCCTCCACAGCCTAGTCATCTGTTCACCTCTGCACACATCAGGTTCTGTCAGACTTTAGGAGGGAAACTATACAGCAGAAAACAGCCACACACACCCCAGTGGCATTTGTGCTGGGCCGCGTGTACTTGGGGGCATCGTGGGCCCGTGGCACCCCCTGACGTTCTGCCCCGCCTGCAGGGGGCGCCCTGGCACACGCCTTCCTGCCCCGCCGCGGCGAAGCGCACTTCGACCAAGACGAGCGGTGGTCCCTGAGCCGCCGCCGTGGGCGCAACCTGTTCGTGGTGCTGGCGCACGAGATTGGTCACACGCTCGGCCTCACCCACTCGCCCGCACCGCGCGCGCTCATGGCGCCCTACTACAAGAGGCTGGGCCGCGACGCGCTGCTCAGCTGGGACGACGTGCTGGCCGTGCAGAGCCTGTATGGTAAGGCCTCCGGACATGCCCCGCTCTTGGTCCCACCCTTGCCCCCCGGGCCTTCTGTCCTTGAACACCAGCTCCTCAAATATGATTTCCCATCCTAAGCGCATAGATCTGGCCTCCCTGTCGCCGACTCGTCCCAATTCTAAAGCCCCATGCCCCCCTCAAATCTGAAAAACCTCGGACTCTTGCTCCCCCGAGTCCATGGCCCTCATCTCTCCATCAGTCCCAACCAATTCCTGTGCACAGTCCCCCCAGCCCCAGCCCCTTGCGTTCCACTTACTGGATTTCTGAGCAACCTCCAGCCTCCAGAGCTCCCGCTCACATCATGTCCCGGCCCCCTCACCCATACCCAATCCTCGGGCCCACCTCTTCCCCCATCCCAGACCCCAAAGCCTTCATTCCTGCCCCAGCCACTAGCTCTCCCCAAGCCTTTCTCTCACCATGACGATGATGCCCCCTACCCCCAAAACCTGCCCACCTCTGCCTGGTGATGGGCTCAGACCAGGTCTTCTTCCCCAGGGTGGGCCAGTGCTCCTGCCCTGGGACCTATCTCAGCGCAGGGCTGTCTCTCTCAGAGTGCCATGGGCAAAGCCAGGAGGCCTGGGTTCAAGTCACCTTCCATCCCTGATTAGCAGATGCTCTTGGGCATTTTCCCTCTGTGAGCCCTCAGTTTCACCTTCTGTGAAAAGGGATAACAATTGAGGCCCTGCTTACCTCACAGGGCTGTTGTGCTACTGGGTATGCACATGCTTTGTAGCGTGAGAAACTTATGCCCCGTAATATGAACAGCTACTATTTCATGAGTACCTACTGTGGGCAAGGCACTTGACATGCAACACACTCATGAAGTATGCTTCTTTTTGTCCACAGATCAAAATAATGGGGCTCAGAGAGGTTAGGTAACTTGCTCAGGGTCATGCAGCTAGGAAATTGCAGACTGGGATTCAGGTGATGGCACCAAATAAGAAGCTGGTTGGACTCTGCTTCACTCCTCTCATAAGTGAAGGATAGTGATGTGATTATTATAATTGCTGTAGTTATCACAGCCTGGGTCTCTGGACTCTGCCCTCATGACACTTGTGTTGCCCAGGAATCAGGGAAGAGGACTCCCTGCCCCTTTTAGTTCCAAACCCTTGCTTGATACCCCACTCCAGTTTTATCTCAGGAGGTTCCTCTGTCCCAGGATGTTGGGTAGGAGAAGATTCCTGAGTTTAGTTTGATGGTTAGCACCGACAACCAGAAACAACTCTTTTTTTTTTCCTTTTTGAGATGGAGTCTCGCTCTGTTACCCAGGCTAGAGTGCAGTGGCATGATCTTGGCTCACTGCAACCTCCACCTCCCGGATTCAAGCGATTCTCCTGCCTCGGCCTCCCAAGGACTACAGGTGTGGGCCACCATGCCCGGTTAATTTTTGTATTTTTAGTAGAGACAGGGTTTCACCATTGGCCAGGCTGGTCTCAAACTCCTAACCTCAAGTGAACTGCCTGCCTCGGCCTCCCAAAGTACTGGGATTACAGGTATGAAACACCACTCCTGGCCCAGGAACAACTGTTAACCCCCCACTCCCACTCTCCTTCCTTGCCCCTCATATTAAATAATCATGAAAGTAACCAAGGGAAGGTCTTGAGTGCACAGCATACCCTCCACTCTATGTGTGTTCTCTCTCTCTCTCATTTCCTTACTCACAAAGGGAAGCCCCTAGGGGGCTCAGTGGCCGTCCAGCTCCCAGGAAAGCTGTTCACTGACTTTGAGGCCTGGGACTCCCACAGCCCCCAAGGAAGGCGCCCTGAAACCCAGGGCCCTAAATACTGCCACTCTTCCTTCGATGCCATCACTGTAGGTAAGAAGGTCCCACTGGGGCTTTGCTTCTTTATTCTCTCCTTCCACATCTCTTAGGGTCTCCAGAGCTGGAGTACAAGGTGGGGGGATGGATTGTAAAAGCCAGAAATCCCAAGCCACAAGCATGCTGCAAGTAGCAACCCCACACCAAGCAAAACACTGCTTCTTCCTGCCCACTTTCCCCTCTGTGCCAACTGTACACACCGTACCCTACCCTTGTCCATTTGGGAAACTGGCTTCCAGGACAGCATCTTCCCTGGAAAGCCAGCAGGAAGCTGATGGTCACACCTCAACTCTCTCTTGTCTCTGGGCAGACAGGCAACAGCGACTATATATTTTTAAAGGGAGCCACTTCTGGGAGGTGGCACCTGATGGCAACGTCTCAGAGCCCCGTCCACTACAGGAAAGGTGGGTCGGGCTGCCCCCCAACATTGAGGCTGCTGCAGTGTCATTGGAGGATGGAGATTTCTACTTCTTCAAAGGTACTGGCTCTGGGGCAGCTGGGAAAACTGAGCCCTAGAGAGGGGAGGTGTCCTGCCCAAGGTCAAAAGGACAAAAGAGGGGAAGACTCTCACACGAGTCCATCGTGGAGTCTCTATTCCAGTTTGAACCTGTGACCCCAGGGGAGACTCTATCAGAAGATACCTTTCAGGGATGGATTAGGGAGCAGCAAGTGTCAAGGTCCCAGGGACAGTTTCAGAGAGGAGTCTAGAGGGAAGCAGAGGACGGCTCTAGAATTCTGCAATTCCACAGAAAGAGCTGGATCTTCCTTGGAATCCTAGCCGTGTGGGGTTGGACATGTCGCTTAACTTTTGGAGTGTGCATTTCTCGAATGGGGAAAACAATACCTCAGATTTTTTGAGGAAGGAGTATGAAAAGAGAATATTGCTTGAAGAGTGTACAATATCTTACTAGATACATGGTAATACTTAGGTAAATAGCATTCATTCATTTTTCATTCATTCAACCAATATTGAGTGCCTTGTATGCACTAGACACGGTTGGATATGTTAGGGATACAGGAGTGAACGAAACAAAAATCCTTGCCCTCATAGAATTATTAGTAGTGATGGCAGTGGAGAAAGCGCTGGGTTTTCCTTTCGACGCTATCCGCCCTCTGCTGACACCTGCTGGAAGTCTAGACAATAACAGTGGTCGCTACTACCGCCCTGCTATTTATAACTAATTAGTAGTGCAATCCATTCGATTGGTATGAATACCAACCATCGTGGGCTCCAGCTTAAAGGACAGCAGAGGTATGGGGGATAGAGGTAGGGTAGAGAGCTCACCCTGGCTCTCCCAATTTCCCACAGGGGGTCGATGCTGGAGGTTCCGGGGCCCCAAGCCAGTGTGGGGTCTCCCACAGCTGTGCCGTGCAGGGGGCCTGCCCCACCACCCCGACGCCGCCCTCTTCTTTCCTCCTCTACGCCGCCTCATCCTCTTCAAGGGTGCCCGCTACTACGTGCTGGCCCAAGGGGGACTGCAAGTGGAGCCCTACTACCCCCGAAGTCTGCAGGACTGGGGCGGCATCCCTGAGGAGGTCAGCGGCGCCCTGCCGAGGCCTGACGGCTCCATCATCTTCTTCCGAGATGACCGCTACTGGCGCCTCGACCAGGCCAAACTGCGGGCGACCACCTCAGGCCGCTGGGGCACCGAGCTGCCCTGGATGGGCTGCTGGCACGCCAACTCAGGGAGTACCCTGTTCTGAAGGCACCTCCTCATCTCAGAAACTGGTGGTGCTCTCAGGGCAAAATCGTGTTCCCCACCCCTGGGGCAGAACCCGTCTTAGAAGCCTCTGAGTCCCTCTGCAGAAGACCAGGCAGCAAAGCCCCCATCTGGAAGTCTGTCTGCCTTTGTTCCTTGAAGAATGCAGCATTGCCTTTGTCTGTTCCCACCACATGGAGGTGGGGGTGGGATCAATCTTAGGAAAAGCAAAAAAGGGTCCCAGATCCCTTGGCCCTTTCCTTCAAGGACTTCTATCCTCCCCAGGCCTTTGTTTCTTCTGCTAAAGGTACAGTTCCTTTCAAGAGGTGACAGCACTGGGATCCAAACAGCAGGATGAAAAACTCAGCAGAGAGATTAGAGACCATTTTGCAAGACTGCCCTTCTCCTCAGGACCTCCTGGCTCAGTTCTTAGAAAACGGTGTCATATTTAGTCAGAGGCTGCACCCCCAGGAAGCATGGATGGGGATGAGGGCATAGGTGTCTCCAACCTCAGAGGCCCTTTGTGGGGTCAGGACGCAGAGTGGGAGGGAGACTGATGCAGGCCTGCCAGTCCCTGGCTTTTTGTCCGGGGCTAGAATAAAGAGGGGCCTTCAGCTGGTGGGCCAAGAGGCAGGAAGCAGCCTTCTTTGGAGCAGTTCTTCCATCCTTTGCTTTGAGAGCAGGTGGGTATGGGTGCAGGGGAGGCCAAGGCCATGCTCTTCTATCCAAGCCAGGACCAGCCAGCTGTGTGTGTATGTGTGTGTGTGGAGCTGTGATGGAGAGAGGGTGCCTGCCTCTCCTCAAAAAGCAAAATGTCCTTGCCCCCTAGGCCAGATGGAGAATGTTGTGCAGCACGGAGAGGTCAAGGGGCCTTCCTGGGGGTCTGCAACGCTGCGGGCGCTGGGGATGCAGCCTCCACAACAGGCAGCCCTGCAGGCTGGGGGTGGCCTTGTGCTCTCACAATGGCCACATTCTCCAGGCCACACACGTGGCATTCCCAAAGCTCCTGCTGTCTGGCCAAGAATAGCTGGGATTCCTGGAGAAGGAACCAGCTCCCCAGCCTCCCTGTCTTCAGCCTCCACCCATGCCAGCATTTATTTTAGCATCTGGTTTTCCAGGCTTCCCCCACCCTTCCACACCTGCTAGTGCCTCATATGCACAGCATTGACCTCAGCAAGCCAGGGCGTCTAGGGGAGGGGAGAATGGTCTGGCAAGGGTTCAGCCCTCAGCTCCCCAGGGCCATTGTTGGCCCTGCCCGTTCATTTTCTTCTCTGCGGCGAGCAGAAGGGCATTTACCGTTGGATACAAATGTTTGTACTGTTCTGGGGTAGAGAGGGAAGCGGCTCCCTGCCCACACTTTTACCTCTGGCTTGAACCCCAGGAGGATCATCCCCACCCGGAGCCACCGTGCCCCACCTCAAAGCACTGACACTTTGATCAGAGGTTTTACTGAATGGTTTCAGAGAAAGGCAGGTTTGTCAAGAGGGATGAGGGAACCCGGAGGTTATTTTCTCTAGGCGATGCCTCTGCCCACCGGGCCAGAGCAGATCTGAAATACCCAAGAGGTGAAGGTGAGGCTGTGTGAGCCGACAGAGTCAGGTGTGCGGTGGCGCTGGTGCTGCGTGGGGCGGGGAGCCCTCGGTGGGCGCTGTTGACAGTGGGCTCTAGGTCATGCTGGGCTTTGCACTGGGGGCGCTAGGTGACAGGTGGGAATCAAGCGCCAACAGTGGGCCTTCTTGCCGGATGGGGGCGCTCTGGACTGCAGTTGAGAAGGGGCGGTTCTGGGAATGTGTCAGAGAGGAGTCCGCGTTCGAAGAGAGAAGGTCGGTATGCAGTCTGGGACTAGGAAAGGATGGAGGGCACAAAGGCTGGGAGTGGGGGCGCTCAGGAGCTCCCAGCGGCCCCCGCCTTACCCAGATCCGGGTGATCCAGAACGCAGTGCGCCACATAGGCCGGGTGGCTGTGCAGACTCCTGCATTTCTTGCAGAAAAGGATTTCGCAGCCCACACAGCCCCCGCGGCGCGGCGGTCGTCGCCGGATCTCCAACACGCACGGCTCCTCCGGGAAGCTCCGCTTCCTGCCGGCGGGGACCCGGCGCTCAGTGCCTAGGGCCGTCCCTCCTCCCTGGGGCCCGGGCACTGCGTCCCTCGTGCCCCGGCCGAGGAGCGCACATTCACCTGTCGGTGGGAGCCGTCAGGCCGCCCAGCAGCGCCAAGGGGCCGAGCCAGCCCCAGAAGCCGCTGTCCGCGCGCCGCAGCAGCGCCACCTGCTGGGTGCTGGACTCCTGGCGCAGCGGGCAGTAGGACACTGAGCGCCGCTCGCGGCCCTCGCCTTCCTCCGCCTCCCGCGGCGGCTCCTTGCCCTCCGCTGCGCTCTCCTCCGGCGGCCTCTGGTTGTCCTCGTCCTCGTCCTCGTCCTCGTCCTCCGACCCCTCCTTCCCTTCCTCTTCCGCCTCCTTGGCCCGGGGCTCTTCCGGTTCCTTCTTCCACAAGGGAGTCTTCACACCTGCGAGCCAGAAGGTCAGGGCAGTCCTGCTGTCCCCGAGAAGGGGTCCAGAATAATTTTTCATTTTATTTAATTTTTAATTTTATTTTTTTGAGACAGGGTCTCTCTCTGTCGCTCAGGCTGGAGTGCAGTGGCGTGATCTCTGCTCACTGCAACCTCCGCCTCACTGGCTCAAGCGATTATCTTGCCTCAGCCTCCCAAGTAGCTGGGACTACAGGCACGCCCCACTGCGCCTGGCTAATTTTTGTATTTTTAGCAGAAACGGCATTTCACCATGTTGGCCGGACTGATCTCAAACTCCTGACCTCAGGTGATTTGCCCTCCTCAGCCTCCCAAAGTGCTGAGATTACAGGTGTGAGCCACCGTGCCCGGCCCTGGATACTTTTTCAAAAAAAATTTTGTAAGTCCAGGCATGGTGGCTCATGCCTGTAATCTCAGCACTTTGGGAGATCGAGGCAGGCGGATGGCTTGAGCTCAAGAGTTCGAGACCAGTGTGGGCAACAAGGTGAGACTCTATTTCGCTACAAAAAACAAAACAAAACAAACAAACAAAAAACGGCATGGTGGTGTACACCTGTGGTCCCAGCTACTTAGGAGGCTGAGGTGAGAGGAAGCTGAGTTAGGGAAGTCGAGGCTATAGTGAGCCATGATCGCACCACTGCACTCCAGCCTAGGTAAGAGTGAGACCCCTTCTCTACAATTAAAAAAAAAAAATTTTTTTTTTGAGACAGGGTCTCACTATGTTGCCCAGTCTGGTCTCGAACTCCTGGCTTCAAGCAGCTCTCCTGCCTAGGTCGCCTAAAGTGTGGGATCACAGCCACAAGCCACCTCCCCTGGCTTACTGATCCTTTTTTTTTTTTTTTTTTTTTTTGAGACGGAGTCTCGCTCTGTCGCCCAGGCTGGAGTGTGGTGGTGCCATCTGGGTTCACTACAAGCTCCACCTCCCGGGTTCATGCCATTCTCCTGCCTCAGCCTCCTGAGTAGCTGGGACTACAGGAGCCCACCACCATGCCTGGCTAACTTTTTGTATTTTTAGAAGAGACGGGGTCTCACCGTGTTAGCCAGGATGGTCTCGATCTCCTGACCTCAAGATCTGCCCGCCTCGGCCTCCCAAAGTGTTGGGATTACAGGCGTGAGCCACCGCGCCCGGTCGCTGATCCCATTTTAACAGGTGGTTATTTGTAGAATATTTTATTTTCTGAATGAGATTTCCTTCCTCCAAGTGGGTCTTGCCTTAAGGAAGCCCAGCATCTCCGCTGGTGGGGCGGGCAGGCGGGTGGGCTTACAGCACCACTGTATGATTAGAAAAGGCGCCTTATAGTCAGGGAGATGGAAAAAGGACCCTCTATGGGCAGACCAATTGGGAAAAGGCTGTCCTTAGGGTGAGCAGATTAGGAAAAGGTGCCTCAGACTTCAGCCACCACTGTCCCCTCTTGCTGGTGCCTTTGTTCAGGGCACAGATACCACAAGCAGTAGCCCCAGCAGGACGTTCTTGGACTGACATGGAAGCTAAGCTGGCCTCCCCTAGAAGGTGTCCCCCGCCCATTCAGCAAACATTCACCAGGCTTCTTGCATCCTGTGTCTGTCACAGGATGTAAAGGAAAGAGGGGAGGAGGGCAGGGAAGACACAACTCGTGGAGTTTGCTATGGAAAAGTCAAGAAACTTTTCTAGGCCGGGCACAGTGGCTCATGCCTGTAATTCCAGCACTTTGGGAGGCTGAGGCAGGTGGATCACCTGAGGTCGGGAGTTCGAGACCAGCCTGACCAACATGGAGAAACCCTGTCTCTACTAAAAATACAAAATTAGCCAGGCATGGCAGTGCATGCCTGTAATCCCAGCTACTCAGGAGGCTGAGACAGGAGAATCACTTGAACCTGGGGCGGGCGTGGAGGTTGTGGTGAGCCGAGATCACGCCATTGCATTCCAGCCTGAGCAACAAGAGCGAAACTCCATCTCAAAAGAGAAAAAAAAAGAAGAAAAGAAAAAGAAACGTTTCTATCAATCCCAGTCCATCCTATTTAAAGAGCAAAGGAAATGCTCATAATTGGTGTTTTAGCCTTCTGGTTGTAAAAGGCCAGGCCTAGTACACAGCTAGAAAAGGGTTCCAGAGATGTTTCAGGAGGAAGGGGAGGAGGAAAAGGGGTTGAAAAGAAAGGGTTGGACATTGAGTGCTGCGCTTGGAATTTGGACTTTGCCTCTCAGCAGTGAGGAGCCACTGAACATTCTTGTAGAAGGACATGTTCCAAGCTGTCTTTTAGGATGTTCCCTCTGACAAGACAGAGGGAGACCCCACCTAGGAGTCATTACAGTGGTCCAGGCCAGAAAAGACAAAGGCTTGAACAAGAGCATGTGGAGATGATGAAGCAGATGTGAAGACTATTCTGGAGCCAGATGTAGTGGCTCACACCTGTAATCCCAGCACTTTGGGAGGCCAAGGCAGAAGGATCACTTGAGCCTGGGAGGTTGAGACTGTGGTGAGCTATGATGATAACGCCACTGTACTCCAGCCTGGGTGACACAGCAGGACTTTTTCTAAAACAAACAAACAAACAAAAACAGGCCAGGCACGGTGGTTCACACATGTAATCCCAGGATTTTGGGAGGCCAAGGTGGGTGGATCACTCGAGGTCAGGAGTTCGCTACTAGCCTGGCCAACTACTAAAAATACAAAATACAAAAATTAGCTGGGTGCTGTGGCGTGTTCCTGTGGTCTCAGCTACTCGGGAGCCCGAGGCACGAGAATCCCTTGAACCCGGAAGGCAGAGGCTGCAGTGAGCCGAGATCTTGCCACTGCACTCCAGTCTGGGTGACAGAGCAAGACTCTGTCTCCAAAAAAAAAAAAAAAAAAAAGAGTATTCAGGAAGGGGAAAGGAGAGGGCTTGCAGCTACATGGATGGGTAACTGAGAAGAGGTTGGACTTCATGGTGATGGTCTTGACTGTCCAAGCTAGGGTCAAGAGGACCTGTCCACCAGCCCCACCCTGCCTCCAGCCCCACTCACCATGCTTATCCATTCTTCCCAAGGCTGTGCCCTGCTTTCCCTGATCAGGGACTGGGATGTGAGAGGATGCCCAGAACCCACAGAACTTTGTCTCATGTCTAGGGCCTCTATTGGATCACAAGGGGTGGGGCTAGAACCTCACCTGCCCATAAGGCTCTGCCCAGGAATAATTTCCTTTTCCAGAGCCTCCCAAAGCACTAACAACTCAGGTGTCTCCTACCTTCCCTCTTAGGAAGGCATTAAAGGGGAAGAGAGGACGGCTTTGGCCCCCAGTAAACTGGATTCAAATCCCAGCTCTACCACATAAATACAAAAGTTATCTGATGTTCAGCATGGTATCTCTCTGACTTTCATCTCTTCATCTGTAAGTCAGAGTAGTAGTACAGTACCAGGCTCTACCTGGCCTACAGGAAGCACTGAAAGCATTGCATTTGTTTGTATCATTATATTCTCTCCTCCTCCTCCTGTCTTATCCTTATCCTTCTTCACCCCATACTCCCCACTTCTCCTATTTCCATTTCATTGCCTTAGTGCCAAGGAATACAAGGGAATAGGTGCCAAGTCCAGTAGGAAGTAGGACTTGGGCACGAGGAGGGTATAGCTCCTGGATATTGTGTATTTGTAGGGGACAGAGGCTGGGGAGGGAGTAAAATCATGGAGCTTCAGGAAAATCCTTTCCTTTCCTGGACTAGAAGTGGAGTATATTGGCACAGAGAAGAATGTGCGGATGGACAATGGACAGATTCAGCTCTGAAAAGCCCTCCGTCTGTTGAGAAGTTGCTGACCTCAAAGAGATCCCAGTCTGATAGTGATCTGCAATCCTCCATCCAAGTCTGAGAGTGGAGGGCGATGGAGTCCCTTCCTTTGGGCATCTTTTTTTTTTTTTTTTTTTTTTTGAGAGGGAGTCTCGCTCTGTCGCCCGACTGGAATGCAGTGACGCAATCTCGGCTCACTGCAAGTTCCGCCTCCTGGGTTCACGCCATTCTCCTGCCTCAGTCTCCCGAGTAGCTGGGACTACAGGCGCCAGCCACCACGTCCGGCTAATTTTTTTGTCTTTTTTAGTAGAGAGGGGGTTTCACTGTGTTAGCCAGGATGGTCTTGATCTCCTGACCTCGTGATCCGCCCGCCTCGGCCTCCCAAAGTGCTGGGATTACAGGCGTGAGCCACCGCGCCCAGCCGCTTTGGGCATCTTAATTTGGTGGAGGCAAGTTGATGGGCTGGAGAACAGAGAGCAGACCTGGCCCCAGGAATCTCCTAGTCACAAGGGGGCAACCCTATCAAGAACTGTGAAGGATCTGAAATGTTATCTTACTTGCAAGCTACCATGTTAACCAGTTGTAGTTTCATGGGTGCTGCCAGAAAACACAAGGCTCCAGGTCAGAGACAAAGGACTTTATTCCTCGTGGCACAGCAACTTCGGCCTATTTGCCTCAGCTTCCTTGCTTTAATGTCCGATGAGTGACACAGATGAGTGCCAGTGAATACTGGTATATGCAGAGGTTTGCATTACTAGGGAAATCCCAAGCTTTGGAAACCTGAATCTTTTTTGGCGGGGGGGGGCCGGGGGGGACAGAGTCTCGCCGTCGTCCAGGCTGGAGGGCGGTGGTGCATTCTTGGCTCACTGCAACCTCCACCTCCTGGGTTCAAGCAATTTCCTGCCTCAGCCTCCCAAGTGGCTGGGACTACAGGCGCGTGTGACGACGCCTGGCTAATTTTTTGTATTTTTAGGAGAGACAGGGTTCCACTGTGTTAGCCAGAATGGTCTCGATCTCCTAACCTGGTGATCCGCCCGCCTCGGCCTCCCAAAGTGCTGGGATTACAGGCCTGAGCCACACTGTGCCCAGCCAAGAAACCTGAATCTTTTATAATGGGTAGTGAGCAAACCTGCTGTTTGCTCAGGAAGGAGGCACTACATCTATTTTCCAAGATTGTTCACTTATACAAAAACCCTTGAAAAGTCAGGGTCTCTGCTTTCAAGACATGCATAAACACAAAAGGCCCAAGGAGAATTGTCTCCCAACAAGCTCATTCTCCTTAAATTTCCTGAAAGCATTTGTAGCCACCATGGCTCTTGATTGCAAAATTCAAAAGCTCCCTCTGGTTGATTTAAAGAGAAAGAATAGCGAGAGCTCACAGAATGACCAAAAGACTTGAGAACTGGATAGGAATCAAGGAAGGATGGAGAATAAGGACATAGTCAAGATCGAATTACAGGAACAATTCACTTTGGAGGCCACTGCTGGGGGTCACCCATGGACGCTGGCACCATGAGCAATCTCAATGAGACACTCACTAAGATTTAATGCCCCTGGCAGGCACATCTAAACCAGTGAGCCTGTGCTATGGTCTTTAGGGAGCATCTCACCAAGACACCACAACAGAGTGTCCCCTGGCATGGTCATTCTTCTCATCCTGCTTCCCCAACCCTAATCTGCCCAGTAGCCACCCATCCTTAGGATGTGCATTCCCTCTTCCCAAGGCTATTTTGGGTTTTCTGGGACCTTCATAAAAAGTCAGATTTTCAAACAACCCATACTAGCATTAAAGCACACTAAAATTTATTTTATTATTATTATTTTTTTATTTTTGAGATAGAGTCTTGCTTTGTTGCCCAGGACGGAGTACAGTGGTGTGATCTCAGCTCGCTGCAACCTCTGCCTCCCAGGTTCAAGCAATTCTGCCTCAACCTCCTGAGTAGCTGGGATTACAGGCGTGTGCCACCGTGTCCAGCTAATTTTTGGATTCTTCATAGAGACGGGGTTTCACCCTGTTGGCGAGGCTAGTCTTGAACTCCTGACCTCAAGTGATCTGCCTGCCTCGACCTCCCAAAGTGCTGGGATTACAGGTGTGAGCCACCGTGCCCAGCCAGCACACTAGAAATTGATCTCACAGAGGACTAGTACAGTCTTCATTGAAAACATGAGAGCAAGCAGGTAATCCCACTGGCCCCAGGAACATATGCATGCCTCCTGCACTCAGACATCAGCTTGGGAGACCTCTTGAGAGGGGCGAAACCATCCTGGGAATGAGTGAAAACTCAGAATTGACTGAATCTCTGTCCAAAAGAGACTGTTTGAAACCAGAAGAGAATGGGCTATATTTTATTGGCAAGCTCAAGCATTATTTTCTGTTATTTATGGAAATCATACCTAAAGGACAAGACAAAGTCAGTTATCACAGGTAAAGCTACAATTTTTTCATAGTAAATTTTAACTTTTGAAATTAATAGTATAAATAGCTCCTTAACTTCTAATAGGTATAACACGGAAATGCAATATCAGTTTTGGCTGGGCCATAAATATAACTTAAGAGAAAATAATGTCTAAGTGGGGCACAGTGAGGGGAACCCATAGTCCCAGCAACTCAGGAGGCTGAGATGGGAAAATCACTTGAGGCCAGGAATTTAAAACTGCAGTGCACAATAATTGTGCCTGTGAATAGCCACTGCACTCCAGCCTGGGCAACAGAGCAAGACCCCTGTCTCTTAAAAAAAAAAATTATTAAGAACAATAATCCAGTAAGATAGTATGTAAGTGCTACTTGATTGGGAATATTTGTAACAACATCTTACATTTGTATAGAGAAAAGGAATGGGGCCTCCTAAACTTACAGCATCACGTCAGTGAAGATGTAACTGGCTAGTAAAATCCATAATGCCTAACTAATAATAGCTCAAACTTTATAAAATGTATTAATTTACTTAGTAAGGGGCTCCAGGATTGGTTCAGTGTCTTGCTGGAGTTATTAAGGGCCCTGCTTATTCTCACCTTTCCTCTTTGCCTTCTTTGTCTCCTCTTGGTTACAAAATGGCTGCTGCAGATCTGGGCACTGCGGCTTCATGCAGCTATGACCAAAGCAGGAAGAAAAGGAATGGCAGAGACTTCTCAGAAACTCTCCAACAGACTTCTCTTTGAATCTCATTGGCCAGAACTGGGGCACAAACCCATTCCTGAACCAACTTATGGCAAAAAGAGGGTTGTCAAGATTGTCCTAGACCAGTTGTAACTGGTACCTTTGATCAAGTGGGACTCATGGAGTATAGTTATAAAACAATTTCATTTTTGTCTCCTACAGTTTTTTAATTTTATTTTATTTATTTATTTTGAGACAGAGTCTCCCTCTGTTGCCCAGGCTGGAATGCAGTGGCTAATTCTCCTGCCTCCTCCTGAGTAGCTGGGATTACAGGTGCCCGCCACCAAACCTAGCTAGTTTTTATATTTTTAGTAGAGACAAGATTTCACCATGTTGTCCAGGCTGTTCTCGAACTCCTGACCTCAAGTGATCTGCCCGCCTTGGCTTCCTAAAGTGCTGGGATGACAAGCATGAGTCACCGCGTCCAGCCCAGTCTTTTTAAACATGCTCAAGGGAGGAAAATACTTCTTCCCCTGTCCCTGGAGAACAACTCAGACAGGCCCTATGACTTATTCTGAGTCCTCTGAGAAAATAGAAAACCCTGAGGCTTGCCACAGCCAGTGACCTGCAAATAGGATGGTGTGGGAGGCAGAAGACATGGTCCCTCTACCCTCTTTCCCAGCCTATCTTTTCTCCTCAGCTGCCCAGCTACTGGTCTCTGTCTTTCCCTGCCCCAATCCATGCAATTCCTTGGATACAGGCTACACTGAATTCTGGGGTCCCTTATTCCCTCTGTAATCCTTAGGAGTCTAATCAGGAACCAACCGGATGATGATCCACTTCCAGCTTCCTATCCACTGAGGCCAGTCCACTTTCCAGGAGGGTCCATTGAATGTTTTGTGTTTGTTTTGAGATGGAGCCCGGCCTATCTTGCTATTAATTAAGGTGTTCTCTGCTGGGCACAGTGGCTCAAGCCTGTAATCCCAGCACTTTGGGAGGCCAAGGTGGGCGGATCACTTGAGCTCAGGAGTTCGAGACCACCTTGGCCAACATGGCGAAACCCTGTCTCTACTAAAAATACAAAATTAGCTGGGCGTGGTGGTGTACCTGTAATCTCAGCTAGTCGGGAGGCTGAGGCAGGAGAATTGCTTGAACCTGAGAGGCAGAGGTTGCAATGAGCCAAGATCATTCCTCTGCACTCCAGCCTGGGTGACAGAGTGAGGCTCTGTCTTAAAAAAAAAAAAAAAAAAAAAA